CAATCTACTTGCCCTCAGTCCTGACTAGTTTCCCACTTCTTATCCATAATGATGAACGTATCCCCACAACATAATGCCACCACCTTCATGCTTAACCACAGGGAGGGTGATCTTAGGGTTATAAGCAGAGCCAGCTTTCTTCCACATATAGAGTTGTGCTCTAAAAATTCAATTTTGCAATTTTACACATTTGCTGTGTTTCACTCCAAATGGAATTCCATATGGGTTTTACTCAGAAATAACTTTCTTATCATCACTCTTTCATAAAGCCAAGCTTTGTAACACATCCAGGTTACAGTTTTCCCATGGACTGTTCTCCCTTCTTAGCTGTGGATCTCTATAACTCCTTCACATTGTCTTCTTGGTTGCTCCTCTTTCTACTAACTTCTTTACCTGATGACTGAGGTTTATGGGATGGCTTTCTCTGGGTAGAGTCATGGTTATGCCATGATCTTGTTATATTTTTAGAAATCTGACCTCAGGGGAATTCTGGGGCTGCCATTCCTGACCCTATTCAACAATACTAGTTGGTTTGATGTCTCTTTCTTCAATAGATAGTGGTCGCTGACCTGGAGCTAGCATGAAAATTAGACATTCAGAACTCCTGATCTGCATTCTTGTTCTGGGTCTGGGCCTTAAAAAGTGTTAAAGTAAATGAATCAGGTTGGCAGTCAACTAACATTCTTAGAAGAAAAGGTCAGCAGTGGCAAATTCAATATCAGGCAACACATTTTTAGAAGGAAAGGTGAGCAATGACGGACTCAATATTCTATCTGTCTGGTTTGCTTTAAAGCAGAACGAAAGCCCCCAAATACTCACCTCCACTGAGCAGTAACGCCATTGCACATGCATGTAGACAGGATATACTGTATAGATGTGCAGCACATAGATACACACATAGATACATTATAAAATAGGTGAAATTAAATGAATGAAATGAAAAATACAACTGCCAATTATTTATAACACACAGTGCTTTAGCAAAGCAAACATCATCCATGAAGGGTTTACATATACTGCTCTTTGTTGAAGTCGTAGTAATAATTTAAGCCACTCCTTTTTAACCAACTACTCTTACAGAATTATTATTTTTAACAAAATCTTTAAGCAGTTGAGGTCATTGATGTAAAAAGTGTGTGATTTACAGGGTTATTCACAAAGGGGTGACGAGTTTGGAGAAGGCAGGAGAAGTGAACAATCTAGGACAACATAGCTGAACTGGAAAGTGAGCTGAATTGAAGAACTTTACCAAATCAGCTATTTTGGCCTAGAGTGTTCACTTCTTCTGTCTTCTCCAAACTCTTCATCCTTTTGTGAATAGCCCTGTTAGTTATTTGTGATCTCCTTAATTGGCAATAACTTCAGCCAAACACTTTCTGTAAATGCTTACCATAGCTTCACAATGTCTAGCAGGGACTTTTTTCCCCATTTCTGTGTACAAACCAATCTTAGTTTCTGTGTGTTCTTGGGATGACTTACGTGAACAGCCTGCTACATCATTTCAATGAGATTTTGGTAATGACTTTTAAAATGTGTTTTTTGCATCATTGCCATGTCTATGACCAACTTGATTTGAGTTTTGAACCACACACACCATTGGCCTGACATTCTGCTGCAGACATTTCTGATGTAATTTGATCCCTAAAAAATTTCAGTCATTTGATGCTCTAAGCAGCCAAGTAGCCCCACGTCACTGTATTTTTGTCATTAAGCATTAAAGAGGGTGTTAGGCTTTAGTGTTAGTATCAAGTATTTTTCCACAAAATGTACTGCTGTTTAATTTTTAGACATGTCAATTTTCATTTCCTTCTAAATGCAAATTTGGATGAAATTTCAGGAATTCAAATAAATGCAAACTAATCCAAATTAAATTTTCACAACATTTCGCATCATCTGAATTTGGTTCAAAATGAGACTAAATTAGGCATGTGACTGTTTTCTGGACAATCAGGAAACTAAAACGAAATTCTGAAGGATATGAATCCAAATAATAAAATGAAATAGATATCTGTAAAAATTAAGTCAAGGCAACTGGACTTGATGTATTTTTCTTGCAGACGTTTCACTGGACATCCGACCAGCTTTCTCAATTCAGAATGATTTGTACAAAAATTATCTGTGAATAAATATGAATGTAGCTCCAATCCAGGTGTTGAATGCATTTGCATAATAGGAGCTAGGAGGTGTTAATAACCTGCCCAGAGAGAGGTGTTAAAATAGCATTGTATGTGGCAGACAATAGATGTCTCCCCCCCCTCCCCACCTCGATTCGAGCTTGGCTTCTCCATTTTTACATTAATGGCTTTTTTCACACCCTTTCACACTGGTTGGATAACCAGTGAAATGTCTTCAAGAAAAATACAGCAAGTCCAGTTGCCTTAACTTAATTTTTACAGATATACCATGACCTTGATGAAGGAAAACCTTCATAGATTAAATGAAAAAGAGTTCAGACCCAAAAGAGTGAAAAATCAGAAATGAATCAGAGGGTAATTTTACCATAAATTTCAGAATCATATGTCATCAGTCCATAGAACATTATTTAAAAAGTGCAGTAGAATATCCAGGGAAACTGTACAAATTGATATACATACTTGCAAAACTGCCACCCTACTGTCAAACGTTTCCTTGGTACTGATAATCCAAACATGTCCGGCTTCCCTGGTCATACTCAGTACACAAATAGGCAAAGTTGTCATGTCAATTTGTTAATTGTACTCCGAATTCAGAAAGACATCACAAGAGGCTCAATTCACAAAACTTTAACACAAGGAGAAGGATCTTTAATTTAGCCATGTGACATATAATTTTTCAAATCTTATTGGACTGACCCATTTTCAAAAAGAATTGATCCTTTTTTGAACAAATGGATCTGTATCCTGGGGAATTAGCTTTGTAAACTGAGAATAAAGTATTAATGTATTAATTTAATAATCTAGTAATCTTAAGAGTCTCCCTAAAGATTGCATACATTTTTGAATAAAGCAATGAAAGGTTAAAACCCCTTTTATGTTTTCATTGCTGCCTGAGTCTATGCTAGGTAGATTTCCTCTCTCCATATGTCCTGGTGATTATTATTATTAAATCCACGCTATCAGAATAGTAACAGAGGGGAATTCTTCCGATGGCAACATGTGTTCCATTATCAGCTGTATAACGGAGGATTTACCTTATTGTGGAGAGATTTCCTCTCACATCCAGATGTGTCTTGGAAGGACAGGATATCTCTTGAATAGGAGACAGATGTTTAAAAAAAAAACCTACTCCATTCATTTTTAAAACAAAAATGGTTTTATTCACATAGGAAGTCATTGCAGACACCTTTTGAAAATTGTAGTTGCCAAGCTGTCATACTTTCAATGACATGGGACACATGTGCATCATGTGACATCATAACTTCTGATTTACCTACTTGTTCCATTTAAAAAAAAAATACAATAGCCAAAAGATCAGCAATACAGCCAGACAAATTTCAAGTGGAGGTTATCAGTGGCATTGTACATATTTTTATTCTATATGTTTGCCAACACAGGCTGGTGAGCTGAAATGTGATATTTTTCTAAAAGCTTTAAAGGAGAACTATGGGGTAAGTGTTTTTCCCCATAGTTCTCCTAAGGGTAACGGGAGGACACAAACTAACGTCCTCCCATCACCCTAGGCTCAGTATACCGCGAGCTACAGCTCGTGGTATACTGAGACGCCGCAGCCGGGACGGATCCCGACATTACTGTCGAGATCCACCCAGCTGCGGGATTGCCAGCTGGCTCTGCCTATATAGAGGCAGAGCCAGCTGTACCCGCCCCCTCCCCTGTCCATTCCCCCAGTCAGCGCTGAAGGATTGGAGCGGGGAGGGGGGGAATCCCCACAGGGAGCCGTGAGTGACAGCCACGGCTCTCTGCAGGGATAGATCAAGAAGTGAGCGAGCGACGCTATGTGTTCGCTCACTTCCAGATCTATTGAGCCGGCCTGTGACAGTTTCATTGTCACACGCCACCTCGAACTATGAGGCTGAGTGATTTTCACTCGCCTTATAGTTCTCCTTTAAAGCAGAACTCCATGGGAAACTATTATTAACCCTTGTAGTGGGGCTACCTCCGCACTGCAAGAGTTAATTGCTTGTTTTGGTCTAGGGAGGACAAAAACAAAGCTAAAATCACATGATCCTCGGAGATGGCTGGCTGTGACAGCGCTCCCTCCAGCCTGTCTCCTTCTATGCTGCAGTGATGGCATGTCCCTCAGCGTCCTCAGCGTCCTCATGTTCTATATGCTGTGTATAGAATGTGATGATTTACGGGACTGCAGTGGAAGGGGACAGAGGCTTCATGGACTGGCCTAAGAGCCGACCAGCTCAGACGATCAGGTGAGTATAACTTTTTTACTTTCCTCCCTAGACATAAACAAGCACTTAACCCTTGCAGTGTGGGACAGCCTCACTGCAAGGGTTAATAATAATTCCCCCCAGAGTTCTTCTTTAAACCCATGTTTATAGGTATTGTTAGTATGTGTAGAATAAAAGGCACATTTTCATAGTACTTTTTCAAATTTTGAAATGTCAGCCAGAGAAAAGATCAGTTTCACCTCATCTGGCCAGTTACAATCAGATTGGGGAAGGATCATGTGTCCACGAGTATTCCCCAACATTTCCAAACATGCCAGGGCTGAGACTTCTCAAATTGACTATATGTATGCCAGACCAAAGGGTTGATCACATACAGAAACCGGGGTGGTAATAGAAACTGATGATGGCATAAGCTAGTGGCAATGATATCACTTCCCTTCCTTACTGGTCACAGTTCTATGCTGTGCCATTGAGTACCATGTGAAACTTGTCCACACTACCCACAATGAGGGCGAAACTGCGATATCTAATGAAAACATACTAAGCAAACAAAGCAGGGACAGAAAGAGGTGGTTATAATTGTCCTTCAGAACTGAGTAGATCAGAAGCAACAGGAGCAGCAGGAGACACAGCCAGCTGGGACCTTCAACAACTTTCAACCATGTCAGTCACAATGTGTCAAACGCTGGGCTTTATTGTCTCTGCCCTGGGTTTTGCTGGAATCATCGCATCCACGTGCCTGGATATGTGGAGCACACAGGACCTCTATGATAATCCAGTGACTGCTGTGTACCAGTACCAGGGCTTGTGGAGAAGCTGTGTCAGACAAAGCTCAGGATTGACAGAATGCCGACCCTACTTCACCATCCTTGGGTTACCAGGTCCATTTACTTTATAAATTACATACGCTGCTACTTTATATATATGTTATGTACATTGAGTGTGTGCCTATGTGTGAACGTGTGAATTTCCTTTTTTTCCTAAGTTAATAAAGATTTATAATATATA